CATACCGTGCGACATATCAACCTTTATGATTCTGAAATAACAAGCGAGTAAATCTTTGTTCAAACTGATTAAGTTACCCCTAACTTAGCACCCCTGCTCAAGACGGATATTTTTTGACGTAGAACTACGTCTTTGTCGACTATACTGGGGTGCAAATCAAAAAATATGTGTGGTGAAGAAGTGTTAGATTTTGAACGCTTGTAACTTTGTCATTTATAGATGAAATTAAAATCCAAATACGCCAATCGATAGGATATTACATTACAAATCTGCTGAAATAAATATTTTTCCAGTTTTTCTGTAATTAAACTATTGAAAATGTACAAATGAAAATTTTATCACTGTTTTCATGAAATAAGCCTTTTTCCCAAACCCAGTCATCATAAACGAATACCACTTGGTTGTACATCATTCTGCTTGAACATGAAAAGATATAAATAAGCGCTGCTCTCCTGCCTCTGCTCATTACCGCTTCGGACGGTGTGGCACTAGGTCCTGCAGAAAGCAGAACTAAGTCAGCGGCTGAAGGTGGATCACGGCGTGTCCACCACAATGATGAATGAGACTTGAAAAAACGTGCATGTAAAACCCCCTCCCCCTTAACAATCTCTCCCCCTCCCCCTTAACAATATCCCGAAAAAGACATGGACTTTGATGATCATTTTTTTCCGGGAAATAAATTTTAAGCATACCACAATTATATATAAACAATTATTTTTTTACATGCAGAGCCAACATTTAAAAAAAAAACATTTGCTTAACAGGGACATACACTCGATAGATTACCAACAACTGACTGTAAAACATATCTGGTACCTCTATATATGCAATTATATTAATATCCAAAGTCCATCCTTTTTCACATATTCTGCACAAAAGAAACTTTCTGCTCCACCCCATTCATAAAAAACGGCGGGAAATGCTATCAGGTTCGGTTGCACATCGTTCTGCTTGATCCTGAAAAGATATAAAACTGCGCTGCTGTCATGCTTTTGCTCATTGTTGCCTCGGACGGCGTGGCACTTGGTCCTGCAGCAAGCAGGACCGAGTCAGTGGCTAAAGGTGGATCACGGCGTGACCACAATGAGGAATGCGACACAATGAGGAAAAGAAATGTTTGTAAACCCCCTCCCCCCTTCACAACAACCACTCCCCCCCCCCCCCCTTAACAATAATCCGAAAAAGACATGGACTTTGACGATCACTTTTTTCCGGGAAATAAATTTTAAACAAACCACAATTATTATTAGTAAAAACAGAAGCTTTTCCCTTAATTTCTTCCCGCATCATAACTTTCAAATATGAGAAAAAATTGCTTGAAAGACATATTCGATGATATTATGTCGATGAATTACACACCACTGACTGTAAAAGTAGTAGTAGTAGTAAAATTTCGTTTATTTCTGTTGATTATGGTGTATACATTGATTTTACATTTCAATTGATTAGCCTATCTGGCCCTTCATCTTTGTTCATTTGATATTCTAATTTAGTATTTGCGTATTTCATCTAGTTAACAGAATACCCCTTGGGGTGTGTGTTTTGTTTTAATTGAAAAATTTGATAACCTACCTAACTACGAGTCTAACTTAACTAACCTGCCAGATCACGTATCTTAAGATCTGATCTCAGACAGGTGTCTCTGAACCTTTCCAAGGAGCCCGTTCGTCGCTCTTCGAGAGGCTGAAGGCCAGACAGGCGGTGAACCTCAGAATTTCGGGTCCTGGACTGTTTATTCTAAGGATCTTGTTCTGGATGTTCCACACATGAATTGTTGCAACGTGATCAACAAATCAATATCTATGTGTAATATATGTACATATGAAAACCATGCGTCACCACACATACTATTCATTTGCGTATAAATTTCATGTGTACTTCTGAGTGGATTCTGTTTATCTGTGGTCAAATGAAAATCATGTGGAATTTACTATTAATATAATTGTCAAGAAAAATGTTTAAATTGTTTTAAGTGAACCATAACCGAAACATTGAAATACTTGAAAATCTTAAGATAAAGTATAATAGTCAAAAATGCATGAAAAACATCAATTTTGTGTGGTTCTACGTCATACTGCGGTCGTGTCTAGGACACAACCCTTTAATTTTTTGAAGATAAGTTGAAATGCAAAATGAAAGTTTATTAGTTTTCTTATATGTAACACCAATTTAATTTATTGTTACTCCCTGTAGGAATTTATAACCTTTCCTATTCTCTCGAATTATATTTCATTAATTCGTTTAGTTCAGGTGAAATTCCCGACTATTATTCCAGCAACAACGATACTATGTGCCCAGGAAAGTCGAGATATATTCCAAACCGAAAGATTTCCTCGGACTGATAAATATCATACCTTCACTGATTAGGCTATCTGAGGCCCCAGAGTTTGATAATAATAAAATGTACCCATAGAGTCCCTGGTGGAACCTATTCCAGATGTTCTAGCATGAAAACATAAACACGGGTTGTCGATTTTGGTTTTACGGTTATATAGGAGATTTGATTGAAATTTTCATATACAAAATTCTCATATCCGAACAAGGTCAGATATCAAAATATTATCAATATTATATCAAATTATGTTTCTGAAATCATAGTGATAGCATATTTTAACAATTTTTTAAATGGACATTGAGTTCATATGTTGAAATTATTTTGATGTTGCTAAAAATTTAATTGAAAACAACATATGACATTTGATTAAAAAGCATGCACATTTATCACTGAAAGCTACCTTTTCAATCTTTATATTGTTTTAAGCCAAAATTTACTAGTTATCTAATGAACTCCAGTATTTTATATGTAATGTAGTGAATTATAATAACATATTAATGAGAATATAAAGCAGGATTAATACTGCTTTGGACATGAACAATACAAAGAGAATTATGAGTTTTATTACATTTTTTTAATGTTAATATTAAACTGCTCTGATTACTAAATTTGACATCAAAAATTTAAAATGCGGTTTACTACAAACTTAAAAATAATAACAAATTATGTGATTTTTTGTTGTTAGTGTGGTCCAAAAATCACTCATAACTTTCGAACTACTGGGCCGATTTCAAAGATCAAAATATAAATTGAGAGGTAGGGTAGAGAACTACTTCGGCCTAATCGCCCATTTTGGGCCTATCGAGCAGAAAACTTCAAATAAATCCATGATTTCAGAGTTAAGAAGTCAATTATGCGTTTGGTACGGTACTTTAGTTAATAAGCTACCGAACGAAGTCAATGAGAACGCGTGGTGTGAAGGTTTGCACCCATTATTCTCAAAAACAAAAGAAGCGCTCCGACCGAATCAATTTTTATCTTCATCCGATAGGCCGAAGTGAATTCATTGGCGTTTAAATTGCGTTTCAATGCGTTAGGCCGAGTTTGGAATCCGTAGGCCGAGTTTGACGTCAAGAAGCAGTGTTAGACTTTTGGCAATATATAAACGATTAGTTTCTCTTTATCAAATCTTACGGTACGTACAGAAAGGTAAATAAATTTGGAAGCCATCAGTAATAATAGCATTCCGTTTGGTGCTAAACTACGCTAGATTAAGAAATATTAAGTGCGGGTTGTGCAGAAAAATGTATTTTGTGGATTTAAGTTGAAAATTGAAAATAAAAAAAGTAGTCGGGATTCGCTATTACAAATTGTAATAGCGAACCTCGACTACTTTTTCAATAGGGCCTGTGTAGAAAAGCGCTTATAAAATAAACATTTTAATACATTGCAAAAACGGCTTGCTTGATTGCTATGGTGTCTTCGGGAAAGTTGTGCAAAATTTAAATGCAATTCTTGAAAAATATACACGGTTAAAAAACATGTGTTTTTAATGAAAATGTAAAAATCGTGAAATGTTCAAAAAACCATATTTTTTTTTTCGTTTTTGAGTTTACCATCACCAAACTTTGCCAGTTTGTAGCAAACATTATGAGCTTCAGTGAGGCTTAAAACGAAAATTTTCGAAAATGCACTTTTTGAGAAATTAACTTTTTTAATAACAAATATAATTTTTTTCATTGAAACAAACGAAATTTTTTACAGTGTATATTTTTTAACATTATTGCCAAAATAATATCTACAACTTTGCTGAAGACACCAAATCAATCCAACAAACCGTTTCAGCAATATATATTTTCTAACTCATTAGTACTATTTTTACACAGGCCCTGTTAGAAAAGTAGTCGTGATTCAATTTGAAGAACTGATAACACAACTTGGCATCTTTACTAAAAAAGAACAACTGTGCAAATTTTCATCAAAATCGGAGCCGACAAATTAAAAAAAAAAAAATTAAAAAATTCGTCAATCTGTAGAGAATTGCTCAGTATGCAGCGTCCTCAATGAGCTACGATTTCAAATGACATGATTTATGTGTTTTTCATTTTTCAATAACTAGGGGAAATGGATGTAATGTCGGCCCAAATGCTTCTAATTTGGACCCATACATAAATCCAACAATCGACTAAATTTTCATTAGCAACCGAAAATATCCATTAGTACCGTCCCAAGACGCGTTCATCTAGATAAAATTGAAAAATATCAGATTTTTAGCGATGGGCACAATCTTAGATCCATAGGCCAACATTACATCCATTTCCGCTATCTAATTTAAAAATGTAACAGAAAATCAAAAATCTAACAGAATATGATTGCATTTTTGCTTGAAGCTAGTAGTGGCTGCGTAGAGCGTTTGAAAAGGTGAACTGTCTAAACGATGGACTTCAACCTGGAAGTCTATTGTTTCAAATGGAATTCACCAGATTAACTTCCAAGAAAAGATGAAGCGTATTTTTTGCCGAAACATCATCGAAATACACGGGCTTTTCGGTTCTTGGTGCCAAACGATTTTTTGAAAATCAGATCAGGCCACGAAACATTTTCTATTTGTTTTATACCTTAACGTTTTTGATTTTCTGCCATTTTAACAAAACCAAAATGCTTTGAACTTCCTAATCTAAACAGCATAAATAAATATGTGTAAAACCATCTGTGCATCACGTACCTGGTGCTGTTGGTCTCCTTGTAGTTGATCAGCAAATGCAGAATCACCTCGCGATATTCCAGCACATAGAAAACATTATTCTGCACCATCAGAAATAGATCCTTGGCTTTCTCGTCCTGCAGCTTTTGCAGAGCTTGCAGACTTTGCAGCATTTCACGGTAAGCCTGTTTGTTCATTAAAATTGAGATTATTATGACGGGCATATAGTTAAATACCGGAAATCCCAGCGAATGGATGCATGTACGTCGACGTGGTTGACCAGTGAACCGAGCAGCCGTTCCGAATAATAGCAACAGCAACAACACCAGGAGCAAGAGTGGCCAGCAGTGTTCAGTGGACCGGTGAACAATGCAATCAGCAGGGAAAGTTATCGTCGTGCGCCATGAGCCGGAAGTGAATAGACAAGAAGCAGTGCAGGGTATACATTGAGGAAGAAAAAAGAAAACAGCAATGATTTAATATTTATGAAATTGCTCAACGTTCGGAAAAAGGCGGTGAACAATTACCTGTACAGCTACGTGCAGGCGCCGGGCCCAGAGGCGAGCACGGGTCTTATCCGAAACCATCATGTCAACGAAGTGCTCTATGCGGGTTATGATCCAATGGAAGCACTGCACACTCAGTGACTCGCTGCAAGTAAGAAAGGTAAACAGATTTACTAAACACAGAAGGTGGAAAGCATAAGCTCAAAAGAACTACATAAAATACAGTATGTAGAACACATTCATATCCAACTTTTTTATGAAATATATAACTAAGGGAACTAGGGGCAGAAGGTAACCCTAACGATCGTGTGTTGATATATGCGATTCCGTGAATATTTATATGCGTGCAATTAAAACTAAACTTCATCCAAAAATGTTTATGATTTTTTCCAAAATGCTCGGAGCAAGAGAGCTACTCTTATGGGGCAAAACAATCATACTAAACTGCAGTGAAACAGATTAATGTTTATTAATAAACAACAATGCCCAATTGGAACCATAAATGCCCAATTGTTTTTTCGACACTTTACCAACTGCAGTCTTAAAGGCTATTGGTCTCTGTTGGGCTCTCCATATAATACACAATTCTGACGGCTCGAGCTATGGTGCTCTCTAGATCACTGTAGCTTTTCAGCTCATACTGTACAGCTGTGATAACATAATCAGGAACATGTAGACACGAGATCAGGCTTCCAAATAGTACAGCTCCTCGCGACAGATGGTTTATACCTGAATTGACTGTTGCTTTGTGTTCTTTACTACCGCTTGCTACCGTACGTTCAGATCTGAATTCGAAGTGTATTGGCAACAGCGCACGCACGAACGAATGAAAACTGTATTTGAACAGTCGCATCTATACCCGCTTTGCTAAAACCATCGTGCTTGGAACGTAGTGAACCGAATGGGCTGTATTTATACATTTCTTTATGACCAGGTTCTCAATGTTTCTGTCGTCATAACAGCCTTCACAAACCGACGACATCCCTCAGCTTACGAAAAGGCTGTCACGAGACATTATATACAATTGATATACGGCAGTGGAGTATGGAAGAAACCCAGAAGAATGATCCCGAACAGATATGTCGGACCGATGTCGGATCAATGTAAGGGTCAATTTATGGTCGATGTCGGCCAAATGTCGGGTCAATTATGTGTTTATGTCGGGTCAATGTCGGGCCAACATCGGGTTGAGGTTTGGTAGAAGTCAGGTTGGTGTCGGGTAGGCTTATATTTTTCGCCGGAGACCGCGCGTTTTAAAAAAATATCGGATGAACATTTAGCAATGGGCAGCACGAACGTAATAGCAACCGAACGAGCTCCGGCGCCACACTGATAGTGTAGTAGCAGTCTTACGACATACATACAAAATTTCAAAGACAGCAGCAACGAATGGGCAGCTGTAAATTTTCATATCATTCGATTGAAGATGAAGCAATACAACCATTCAATTAATTCTGTGTAAACGAATTCTCACATGACCATAATTTGAAGAGCCCCTTTCTCATTCGAAGCTCATTGTCACTGTCAATTGAGTCACTCACTATCATTTCAGTGCCAACATTTCAAAGGGGCGTAATTGCTTTTGTAAACAAAGGCTTTAGCCGTCGATTTCTCGCAAATAAAAGCTCACTCCTCCAAATTAACAATGCTAGCTGGAAGAGGAAACATTCCTCTACCTGTTGGTGCAATCAATTTTCATGAGTGAGCTTTAATTTGCGAGAAATCAACGGCTAAAGCCATTGTTTACAAATGCAATTACGCCCCTTTGAAATGTTGGCACTGATTTGATATACGACAGTGGAGTATGGAAGAAATCCAGCAAAATGGTCCTGAATAGACAAGTTAACCCAATGTCGGATCAATGTAGGGCTAATTTAAGGTCGAAGTCGACCCAATGTCGTGTTGTTGTCGGGTCAATTTTGGGTTTGTAACGGGTCAACGTCGGGTCAACATCGGGTTGGGGTTTGGTAGAAGTCAGGTTGGTGTGGGGTTGGCTTAGCTTTTTCGCTAAGGATGTCGACCAGTGCTCCGTTTATGTACAATTCAATGCACTCAATTGAATGATATATAGCGTTTCTCAAATGAGAATGATCCATGCCTTCGTCAAATGACTAAGCAACTGATATCACTCATTCGGAGGAGGTCCCCTTCGATAGCGAATTGCTACTTTTCTCAACGTTGCATGTCGTATAACAGTCTCACTGTGGGCTGTCACTTATAGCTCAATCTCAAGGCTGTCGTAGGAAAAAGAAAGCGACAGCCGTTGGAATACTGTCATGAGGCGGTACTTTTGGTATGCCTGCACGAGATATCAGATATGAAGAAAACGTTTGAAGTCTTATTGAAAATAATCCGGACAACAAAAAGCACTGCGAAGAAAACCATAAAATCACATCAACTCCGAAATTTGCGAAAAACGCAAAACAACATGTATTTATATCGCGTCTCTAGCTAAATTTGAGCGAATAAACACCCAAAACATTTTGAAAACCACCCAAAACCCCATAAAACCGTAACCCATCCCGAAATTCACACAAAAAATGAAAAAAAAACATTGATAATGCTCGATGAATGTAGAAAAAAACAGTGAAACTTAAACAATTTAGTTCTTTAAATATGAAACATTGAATGTGAAAAACACGAAAATGGTTTTTTAATATTTTTGTAAAATATGTAACACATACTATATAAAAACTATATACCATATCAACGGAAATACCCTAAGCTGTGGAATATAGCTAATATGGAACCAATGTTTCTTATTTGGAAAAAGCACAGCGAGTAAATTTATTCTTTATATTATACTATTAAAGTTACCCGTATTATCAAAGATACCCCGTTTTACAGCACCTACACACTTAGATCTTGTTTTCGTGTTCGGTAAATTTTACCGAAATCAGAACAGCTGAACGTTCGGTGAAACTTTGACCTTCATTTTAAAGTCCATTGAAATAGCAAATAGTTTCAAAACATTTTCAACCTTGTTTAAACTATCAAATCTTGTTATTTTAGTGTAGATTTAGTTTCAAAGTAACTGAAAAGCAATTAAATTGCATAAATTTTACCGAAAAGTTCAGCTGCTCAGATTCAGGTAAAAATTACCGAAGTCGGCGATAATTTCTAAGTGTGTTACATGCCTATAATCGCATATAAGTACCATATGGATATCGTTAATTTTGAAATAACAGCGCTATCCACTATCAATTGGCACCTGCTTTCATATTATGTGATAAAACTACAGACTTTGATCACGAAAAATGTGTCAACAACATCAAGTTATTTTGTCCCATCAAGTAAAGTACCGTATTTGACGCGTCCCTAATGATGACGCACTCGTCTAATTTTTATCGCATCTCGATTTTGACAAGATATTTTTCAAAACTTTGTTACACCATCATCCCTAGAGCACAGGAACTAATATTTGCAGAAGTAACATTTCAAAAATAATGATTGAATATAGTCGAACATCATTGAGTGCGTCGATTTAGAAACCGCTTCGAATATGGTGCCTCCACGGTAATCACGTATCAGAAGTGCTCGTCTACTGGTCTCTCGCCAATGTCGGAAATTGTGAGCAAGCTGAAGGATGCCTCGCTGGATACGCCCAAGACTGGACGGGCGGTAGCTGGTAGCCGTGAATTGTTCTTGGGGAAAGCACTAGATGCGAACCTCTTCCCAGATGACCATGTCAATGCAAGAAAATTTGTTTTCGTTGAAGGAAATATAACAACAAAGGTAATTGCTTTTAGATATTTTTGTAAACAGTGACAGATAGCAGATATGAAGTTCAAGTGGAGGTGCCGGGCAAAGGTGTTATATCCTAGACAAATGGTAAGTTACAAGTTCGCTGTTGTCGTCACCGTAGGCGTCGTCGTTTTCGCCGTCGTAGTCGCTGTCGTAATCGCCGTCGTAGTGGCCGTAGGCAGTACCGTTAGTATATTTAAAATTAACCATCAGCCGCTGAAACTATATGAATTATCGCGTATTTCTGTTGTTCATTACATACCAAGTAAAAACTTTGCCGTGGAGTGTTGTAGTTTTGAGATGCACGATAACCCTAGAGAGATCGGTTTTGCTTAATGAGCAAAATATCATGAGTTTAATCCCAAGCTCTCCCACAACATAATAAACCGGCATCGTTGGGTTCCGAGAGCATAAAGTGCAGTTAACAACTAAAAGTTGAATTGTAACCATCAATTTCGGAAAGGGTGTATGCGTGATCCAGTTTGGAAGACATTGTTGGCTTCATTCAGGGACGCCGCTTCATTTGAATAGCTTTTTGTTAAGTCGGTCGTAGATTGTGGTAGTTAATGCAAGGGGCACGGTGGCTATAGAGCAACCGTTTTTGCTTAATGAGTAGAAGATCATGGGTTAAAACCCAAGCCTCATTACATTACCCAGGCCACTATTGTAGAAAAATTTTAATAACAGAAATTGGAGGAAAGAAATCAGAAAAGTAATAAGTATATTTAGACGTACGCCTGATCCGGTTCGAAAGACAATGTTAACTACTTTCTTGGATTTCATTTCATTTTAATAGCTTGAAAATGAACGATCGTCGGTCGTAGATTGATACGATGTAAGGGGCACGGTGACCTTAGAGCGACCGTTTTGCTTACCGAGCAGAATATCGTGGGTTAGAACCCAAGCTCCTTTACATTACTAATTTGATAGGGTCGCGTCATTTGCTTAACGGGCTTTAAAAGATCGCATCACTTCCCAATGTAAATCCAGATCTAACTTACCCTTCCCACTAGCAAAAACGTCCTTCGCGTGACAACCGTGGACATGCAGAGGTATACTCGGTACCTAGTAACAACGGTTGTTAAAATAACAATCCTTTCCCTCCCCGATGACCGTAAGGACGTAGCTGGCGCTGTTATTGACCTCAAAAATAAGGATTCTTCGGATTTAGTACACTGAGAATGGATTGCTAGCCCCATTCATATGGTTCTTTGCGCAAATTTCGTTAAATCTAGTCAATTACGGAGTAGCAACTCCTGAAATGTATGGTCGTCAATGCTCATGCTTATGCAAAGTAATCGCATATCAGTTCCATACTAAAATTCAATCGTCCAAAGTTATAGTCCTGCTTTTTGAATTGCAAGCTTTATTGCAACTGATTTGAATTTGAAAAAATATAAA